AATTTTTATTAAATATGTTAGCACTCATCACACGTAGGTTCAAACATTCAAGAGGGAGGGCAATTTGTAACATCAAGAATTGAAACAAAATTTAATTTAATTAAGAAAAGTGAGAATAGTGGAATTTTTTATGCTATGAAAAGATATATAATTTATGAAATGTCTTCGAATTATATTTCAATATATTCTTCTACGATTCAAGAAAATGAATCATTGAAAAATTTGCAAAAATTTCAAACATATTTTATTTTAATTCCTCAATTAGCATGCATTAAAAAAAAGATGAAAACATACCGAGTTGATCAGCAGTGTTTCCGAAAGCAAAGCTAAGATCTTTAGCTTTAGCGGTACTTGGACTGGAAGCGCTTATATATGTACTGTTTTTGCTACCACCAGCATAACCCGTAAAGTAGAGTGAGAATTCCTTCTTTTCACCAGCATCAGTCGGGGAACTCCCATCACTTTTTTTTGCTCCACCTGTGGGTCCACCTCCAGCTAACATGGCTGATAAGTAATTGTCAATTTCAGCACCAGCACCGGTTTGATCAAATTTACCACCTTTACCAACACTAATTGGACTTTTAGCACCACTAGCAGTTCTGGAAACAGGACTTTTAGTGCCAGTGGCACCAACGGAACTAGCACTAACACCTCCAGCAGCATGACTTGTAGCAGTAAGACTGACATCGGTAGCAGCAGAAGTTTTACTAGCACTGATAGCACTACCACTTTTTCCTGCCATAGGAGAGGTACTGATAGGAGTGGTTAATGCTGCTTGACCACCATCTGCTGATGTTGTCGCCGCTGTCGCCACACCTGTTGTTGCCACAGTTCCTGCAAAAAAAAAGGCCAAGGATTTTAAATGAATGATTATTTGGTTATCACAATGAATTGATTATTTAAGAAAAAAAATTTCTACTTTAATAGTTGAAAACATTTTTCAAAAATTAACCTAATTTCATTACAATTGAGAGAAGCGATTCACGAAGGAAAGTAATTTCTTGCATCATTTGCTTGATAACTTCTTCCAATCGTTTATTTTCATTCGTTACAGCTTCCAATATCACTTTTAATTCGTCATTACTCTTTTGCATCTGAGCAACATTTAAATCTTTCCACAAATTTGGTATAACCACTTGAATTGGAGCTAAATATAAATGATATTTACAATAATCCTTATTAGTATTAATATTTTTCATACTTTATCATCTTTTTTTTTTGTCTTTCTTTTATCAAATTAACAATTTTATTTAAATTTATATTTAAAGAGAAATGTATTTCAGTTAATTCATATAGTTTCACTTCTATTCTAATCATTTCCAAATTATTGCAATGCTTATCATTTTTTTTACAGTACGATAAATTTCTAGTGTGTTGAAATGCAAAATATCACTTCAATGAAAACAGTTACGGTATGATAAATTGCAAAGTCACAGTATGACAAATTGCGCAATCCACAGTATGAGAAACTGGGCACCTCCATTATGATGGCATTTGTCTAATGCTGACAAGCCAAAAGATAGCATATTTTTCTTAATTTTATCACTAATTTTAAGATATATTTGCTATATAACTTTGATGTAACAAATCATGCACTTATTTGTAAACCTTATCCAGAACTACTATAAAATAGGAAAGTCAATTTTCACCTCGAACAACCATAATTTCTTGATTGTTTAATTATCATTTAATGTAAAATAAATTTAAGATGTGATATTTTTCTAATTACAACGAAATTTGATAGTATTTGAGAAATTTTTTTTAATGTAAAGAAATAACATACCATTATCCTTTTTGCTTTTCTTCTCACCTGGAAATTATCATTTCTTTAACAAATTGTAATTTGAATGGGCAGAAATTTGCTTATTTTTTAAAATAAATCAAAATTTTTATTGCTCTTTCGAATATCAATACATGAAGCCATCAGGAAAATTTTACGATGAAATTTTTTCGAGAATTACAATATTTCGCCCCTTTATTTTTCAAATTATAAATTATTATAAAAAGCAAACATATCTTTGCCATCTTTTTGTTCTGGAATTTTCAGAATAGCATAACCATTTTTAATTTTATTTAAAATTATATTAAAACAATTACTGTTTAAAAGTTTCTTAATTTTTATTACTATTATTGTCAGTCAAATACCCTCACTTAAATCCACCCGCTATTAATTCAAAATAATTCACTTTGCAGTATCTGATAAATGAACTATAAACTCAAGCCATAAATAAGTCGAAATTCTATGCTGCTTGAAAATAAACAATGTTCCCCGCTTCATATCAACCCTCAAATCGACTTCTTTTGCTAATATTAATCAAGATTTTCCACTCAAAAATATAATTAATTTCTATCAATTGCATATTAACAATTTCTCCTGTGTATTTTGAAGACATTTAATTTATCAAATCGAAATAATCGACCTTAAGAACCCTCATTTGAATGAAAATTTACAAAACTACGCCTATTCTGGTTTAACAAAAATTAAAATAACTAATTATTGACTATCATCAGCATTATCAGTATTTATTATTGTCATTATCACCAGAAATATGTAGTTAATATTAGGATCACCTAATCTTTGGTAACTTTTATCATTTGATAAGTTTTGATAACTTTTATCATTTGAAGCAATAGTGATAAAAATTTTCTCAAACTAATCAAAAATTAGAAACCATTATCCAACTTACCATTCTCATCACTTGAACTAGGACTTTCCTCTTTTTCCTCTTCTTCCTTTTCAGGTTTTCCTTTCCCTTCCTTCTCAGTTTTTTCTTTTACTTCTTTTTCAACTTTTTTTTTCCCTTCCTTTTCAATTTTTTCTTTTACTTCCTTTTCGACTTTTCCTTTTAATTCCTTTTCAACTTTTCCTTTTACTTCCTTTTCAACTTTTTCTTTTACTTCTTTTTTTTTCATCTTTGATGATACTAACTTCTCTTTATCTTTGAACAATTGCTCAATTTCTGTTTCTATTTTAAGATCATCGTAACCTATCTGAAAATTTTATCCCTTCAATCAAACTAAATAATTACGAAAAATTTTGTTCCTTATTAATCATTTTCATTTTTAAAATTAATGCACAGATTTTTTTAAGGAAAAGAAAATTTGTAAAAAATTGCAGCAAAATTTATGATGAAACCAATACACAGTTCCTTTACTATCTTAATGACAGTGATTAATTAATATTAAACTCATAGCAGTTTATCTTTACAGAACTTTCAATGAAATGTCCATTTTCACGTTTAATTTGACATATGATATAGCTATGAAAATAACACAAGCACTAGGGCTCATAATTGTTTATTTTAAATGCAACATTTTTAAATCATTTCAAGTATTAACTGGAAACTATAGAAAGTGGAAATGTGAAAACTTCAAATTTCAAGAATTTGTGTTTAAGATTATGTTATCATTGATGGTGAATGAATTTACTTACTGTCGGCGTAAACTTTTGTCCTGTTTTTGTTACCAATTTACCCGTAATCTTCGGCGTCTTATCTGGTAATTTTTTATCACTATATGCTAAAAAAGTAATTTTAAAAAAATTTCAAAATTTTGATTGAATTTGCAATTTCTCCTTAACTTTCTAATTATTTAAAATACATTTACGCGTTAGAAATTTTATTTTTGATTTTAAATCAAGTTTTGAGCATTTTATGTTTTAATTATACCAAAATTTCTAAACTTTGTAAGATTTTATATTAGATGAAAATTGGAAAATTCCCTTCGTTTACAGTAATTTTTTTACCTCTTACGCGTAAATTCAATACGCCTACTTCAGCACCTTCAATAAACGGCTTCCTTGGATCATAACCTTCTGGTGATGCAATATACTCCACCACTAATTTTGTTTTTCCTGGCTTTCCAGGCTGAAACAAAGTAATGGAGCGTTTTTTTAGTGAAACAAAATGGTGACATAGTTTTCCAGACTGAAACAAATTGGCGACAGCGTATTTGCACATCAGTGTAATAAAATATTGGTGATGAAATGTTTGTTTACCAATGCAAATATGACAAAAAAAAGAAAATAATGGTTATTACTTTTTAAATATTATCTGATATAAATAATTTATGATTCTTTAATTATTTTTTGGTACTTATATATTTTCTTGTTATACCAATAAAACACCAATAAAACAATATCAATCAACCAAATAATTAATTAAACAATCAGTTAATCAATCAATATTAGTAAATCAATCGGTTTAATATCAATAAAATTAATATTATCAATCGATAAGCAATAACTGAGATATCACTTCAATCCACTAACAAATTATTTTTATTAAAAAAATAAAAATTATTTTAAACGTTTATTAATCAAAAAGAAAATTGTTTTATTCTCAATATATTGCTGTTGGCATGTTAAATAATATTAAAAAACTTCCGTTTAAATAAATTAAACAATTCGAAAAATCAAGAAAAATATTGTAAAACTAACCAATCGTCTCAGAAAAAGCTTTTTCTTAACGCCAGGTTTTACGAAACCAAGCGGTGGCGATACCTAAACTATTATCTCCAAATTAACATTAAAGATTTGAAGTTTCATCGGTCGGACAACAAAAATATTTCTTTGTACAAAGTAAGGTACAAATCAATTAGTCATTTATACCAATCGCAAAATTTTTGCTGTCTCTTTTTTGAATTAAAAAAAATTCTGAAGAAGATTCATATAAAGCAAAATCAAAGTCTGAGTAATGATTAAGATAATACAATTACTATTACTGAATTAAATTGCTTTCAACAAAATGAAATAGTTTATAAAATTTTTTTGAATTTGACTAGTCTTAATTCATTCCAAAATTCTAACCAAAAATAAATATTTGAAAGATGGCATATCCTAAAGTAAACAGAATGCAATCTTTAGAAATGCAGGACTTCTTTTTTAGGATTGCATAATATATGCAAGCATATAGCATACTCACTTAATAGTCTACGCTATTTAATATGGCACTAATTATCTAATTATTCATACAATTTCATTTGCACATTAAATCAACTAAAATGACTTAAATTTTAATCGAGAAGAAAAGAAATAAAAATTGAACACAATGAAATTCTATACCTGATACAAATCGTAATATTTTTCCTTTAATTTCACCTTAAATGCTAATCGTTCAGTACCAACTGCTTCAAGGATATGCGTTGTTGTACCACCTGTGCATGGTACCTGTAGTAGGATTTCAACGAAAGAATTGCTTCATGTGCAAACAGATTTGTTCATGAAATTTATTAGAAAAATAATTTTATCATTTATTTAACACATCCAATTTTTTCGCATTCATTTACTAAGCCAGTAATTTTCCAGTCAGATATATTTACTACATTTAGCTTGAAATTTGACCAAAAAAAGTAGTTTCTCGAACGCTTTAGCAAACATCATAACCCAATTAAATGTGAATAATTCATTCGTACTATAATTTATAGTAAATATGTATGCAGCACCTGTATCACTGCTGGCGTACACTGCAAGTAAGACATCAGTTATGGCCGTAAATTTATTTGCAAATAAACAATAATTAAAAGTTGAAGAATTAGATATTTAAATTGCATAAAATACTCTAAGAAAATGCAAATTTTGTAAATTACGCAATAATGCAAATTTTGTCATCTCTGCAATTAAACTGAATATTCCATCTGTGGAGAAAATAGCATGCTAAACAAACAAATGAATCAATGTTTCGTAAATACACGTTGTCGAAAAGTTACATCATCATAGCAGTTCTTTTCAACATATGTTTTCTCATCACCCTTCACCATTCTTAACTTTTCATACACAAGCAATCGCCTGTAAAGTTCACTAACAGATTATCTCATAGCTTGGAGATTTCAATGCTAAAAAACATTCAAAATCAGAAATGAAAAGATTGTGTCATAAACAAAATATGGCATATTAACCAACCATAAAATACATATCAAATTTTGCTATGACGTAGTATAATGGTCTTTTTACTAAAGATCACTATGATATTAGTATATCAAAGTTTGATTAGTTACTAGTTCCTTAGAATCTGAACCAAATGGAATGATAATTTAAAACAGTGACTACTGAAATAAATAATTCACCTCGAATACCTTCGCGACAGTGACTGCTCACAGTTATAAATCAATTTCATAGCATCATGTTTCGGCAAAATTGCTTCAGAATATCTAAAAATCAGAAAGTTTCAAG